GTAATTCAGAGTATCCTAGATTATTTGTAATAGGCTCTTCCTACTGCCAAATCTGCTGAATTGTGTATTAATGGAATTTCAGACCTTTTCATGAGAATTGGAGATACAGCTGGATGGCATGTACCTAGGTTGCTATGAAATAAGTAGACTCTTTGCCTTGGTTATAGAAAGCCTCACACAGCTTTCATTTTTTACTGCTTTCCTTGTGGACAGTTGTTCTGAAAGCGTTAAGATAGTTTTCTATAGAAAACGAATTCCTACCTCTAAAAACTACCTTGAGAACTTGGAAGTGGCAGTTTTCTGAGGTGATTCTTAAATCTCAGTATTAAAGATTTGTATCCAGGATTTGTTGACATAAATTCTATAGCTAGTATGATAGGAAACATAAAACTGTTTTAATGTGGTGTATCTTGTATACAAGCAAGTTAGAATAAGAAGCTTCTGGCAGCAGATCTCCAGGGACTCAGGTTTAGATTCTCATAGTATACTTAAAGTAGTTGTACTTTGACTCAAGTAGTTTAGTGCCTGGGAGAATCTATTTCTGAAAAGCATTTAATTTTTTTAAAAAAAATACCTCTGTAAAGGTAATAAATGCAAAATAGCATAGTATATATAGGAAAGGATATTTCCTGTTGCAAAAAAAAGCCATAAAATGAACTAATAATTTTCAAGAGGTAGAATTTTAATAGCAATAACAGTTTTGCTTGTATAGTAAATTGCATTAACAAGGTTGTACAGTAAAATAAGTGAATGACTTGAGTTTGTGGGGCTCTGCAATCAACAGAGTTGCACAAAAGGAAAAATGTTCTGGATAAAGAGCCTATAAGAGGTACTTTCTTTTAAAACAGTATGAATGTTTATGAATATATCATTGTTTGAGAAATAACAACTTTTGTATAAGTTAAAGGTTGAAAACCCTGTTTGTTTCCTAAAGCAGAGGATGTGAGCCATTGAAATGAAGCCTTTCTAGTGCTTAACTGGAAAACAAATATGCTTCTACAACTCCACTGAAGCTGTCATGTGGGTTTTCTGCTTAAGATATTCCTTTTAGCAACAGGTATTTATTCTGTAGAATGGCATACTTTTCTGATTTGTCTCATTTTCCTCCATTACTTTCCTGTTCATTTTTTAAAAAAGAAGAGAAAAGTTTGTGTGTTTAGTGTCTTAATAAAACCCAAGAACATGAAAAAAAAAGGTTGATAATTAGAATCTATATAGAACTCAGGAAAATCAGCAAGAAAAAATCAAACAACCCTATCAAAAAGGTGGCAAAGGACATGAACAGAAATTTTTCAAAACAAGACAGAATAATGGCTAACAAACATATGAAAAACTCCTCAACATCTCTAATCATTAGGGAAATGCAAATCAAAACCACAATGAGGTATCACTTATCTCCAGTGAGAATGGCTTTTATCAAAAAGTCCCAAAAATGTCAGCATAGTTGCAGATAGATGAGAACATTCCTACACTGCTGGTAGGACTGCAAACTAGTACAACCTCTGTGGAAAGCAATATGGAGGTATCTCAAAGAGATACAAGTAGAGCTACCATTTTGTTCCAGCAATCCCATTACTGGACATCTACCCAAAAGAACAAAAAACATTCTATAAAAAATACATCTGCACTAGAATGTTTATAGCAGCACAATTCACCATTGTAAAGATGTGGAAACAATCCAAGTATCCATCAATACATGAGCGGATTAACAAATTATGGCATATGTATACCATGGAGTTCTATTCAGCCACAAAAAAGCAATGGTGATATAGCACCTCTTGAATTATCCTGTGTAGAGCTGGAACCCATTCTACTAAGTGAAATATCCCAAGAATGGAAAAACAATCACCACATGTACTCACCATCAAATTGGTTTCAACTGATCAACACTTAAGTGCACATATAGTAACAACCTTCATCGGGTGTCAGGCAGATGGGAGGGGGAGGAGGGGATGGGCATATACACACCTAATGTGTGCAGTGTGCACCATCTGCGTGATGGATACACTTGAAGCTCTTACTTGGGTGAGGCAAGGGCAATATATGTAACCTAAACATTTATACCCTCATAATATGCTGAAATTTAAAAAAATGTGCTTTGAGGAATCTAAAGCAAATACAATCTACCTAAAAGTTATATTTATGTATTCCTACTAAATTATAGATCTTGCCATTGAATAGCTATGATTTAATAAGATATTTTAACAATAATAAAACATTTCACAATTTTGCTAAAAAAGAAATACAAAATATTCATGAATACTGTGAAAATCTATATGCACATAAACTAGAAAATGTAAAGAGAATGGACATATTCCTGGAAACTCAAAACCTCTGAAGTCTCAATCAGGAAAAACAGAACTGCACATACCAATAAATGAGCAGCAAGATCAAAGCAGTGATACAAAAATCTTTCAACAACAACAACAATAACAACAACAACAACAATAACAACAAAATGCCCCCGACTAGATGAATTCACAGCTGAATTCTACCAGACCTTCAAAGAAGAGCTGTACCCATACGACAGAAATTATTCCTTAACATTGGGAAGGAGGGAATCCTCCCCAACTCATAAGCCAGTATCACCTTGATACCAAAGTCAGGAAAAGACATAAGACAAAAAGAAAAGTACAGACCAATTTCCTTTATGAATACAGATGCAAAAATCCTCAATGTCCTTCTATGTTCTTTGATTAGATAATTTAATCCATTAAAATAATTGTTGATAGGAAAATATTTGGTATTGACATTTTGTTAAAATTTTCTGGCTCTTTTTTCAACCCTTTTTTTTTCTTTCTTCTTCTCTAGTTATTTTCCTTTGTGATTTGATGATTTTCTGTAGTGGCATGCTTTCATTCATTTCTTTTTATCTTTTGGATACCTACTATAGGTTCTTGCTTTGTGATTACTGTGAGGATTATGTAAAACATCTTATCAGTATACTAATATATGTGAAGCTGTTCAAAACAAACTTTGGTCACATACAAAAGTTATGCACTTTTATTCCCCCCTTATTTTGTGTTTTTGATATCATATCTTTTTATAATATGTATCCCTCAACAAGTTAATGTAACTATAAGTAACTATAGTTATTTTTAATAATGTCTTTTACCTTAGAGTTATAAGTATTAGAGTATTCTGAATTTGGCTATGAATTAATATTTTCCTTTACCAGTGATGTTTATACTTTCATATGTTTTCATATTACTAATTAGTGACCTTTCATTTTAGCTTGAAGAACTCCCTTTAGCATTTCCTATGAGGTAGGTCTAGTGTTGATGAACTCCTTTAGCTATTGTTTGTCTGGAAAAGTCTTTATTTCTCTCTCTTTTCTGAGGGTTACCTTTGCTGAGGAAAGTAGTCTTGGTTGACAGGTTTTATTCTTTTTTTAGCACCTTGAATATATCATCCCACACTCCCCTAGCCTACGAAGTTTCTGCTGAAAAATCTGCTGATAGCATTGCTAGGAATCCCTTCTAAATGACATACTTCTTTTCTTTTGCTGCTTTTAGAATCTCTACTTTGGCTTTGATTTTTAATAGATTCATTGTAATGTAGCTTGGTGAACTCTTGTCTGGGTTGAATTTGACTGGAAATCTCTGAGCTTTCTATACCTGGATGTTTGTATGTTTACCCAGATTTGAAAGTTTTGGCCATTATTTCTTTAAATAAGCTTTCCTTCCTTTTCCTCCTCTCTTTTTCTTCTGGAACTTCTAAATTTTGCTAATGTTAACTCTCTAGACTATGTTGCCATAGATCTTGTAGGATTTCTTTATTCCTTTTCATTATTTTCTTCTTCTTTTTCTTGTCCTCTGACTGAATGATTTCAAATGATTTCAATATCCCCTTATTATCTTTGAGTTTACTTGTTCTTTCTTCTGCCTGATCTAGTCTGCTGTTGAACATCTCTATTGATATTTCAAACCAGCATATATTTCAGCTTCAGAATTTCTGTCTGGTTCTTTTTAACTTTTCTCTTTCTTGTTTAGGTTTTTATTTTATTCTTGTGTTTTTTTAATTATTATTTTGCTAACTTGTTCACCCATTTTCTCTTTTAATTCACTGAGCTTCTTTAAAATAATTATTTTGAATTCTTTGTCAGGTACTTCATGGATCTCCAATTGTTTGGGGTCAGTCACTGTAAGTTTATTGTGTTCTTTCAGTGGTATTTTGTTTCCCTGTTTCTTCCTGATTCTTGTAGTCTTGGAAATAATTCGAAACTTTCAGAAATGTTGAAAAATAAGAACAGTACAAAGAGTAGCCATCTACTACTTACCCAGATTCATCTGTTAACATTTTACCACCTTGTTTATCATATGAGCATGTTCTCCCTCTCTCTCCTGACTCTCTCCTCTTCTACACTCTATATGCATATTTATATATACATACACACACACACACACACACATATATATATATATATATATTTATTTACACATTTTTTCAGCTGTAAATATGCAACTTGCATACATCTTAACCTCCTTATGCCTAAATACTTGAAGGGTTGTTTGCTAAGAAATGTTTGGTGGAGATAATTTGAGGCTCGGAATGTTGTGGTTCCTTCAAACAGATATTTGTTATATTTTTTCAGCTTTTTTGGCTATTCTCAATGGCATAGTTTATCTAAAATAACTTAGTCTGCCATTGTCATAAGTATAATCTCTAATCTATTTCATTTTATGACTCAATACCAAAGTTTTATTTCATGTAATGTTTTATTATTGGTAGGGCCAGTGTCCCCTCATTATCCATCTTTTTCAGAATTTCCTTACTGTTGCTACTTACTCATTTTTATAAGAACTTTATAATCAGTTTGTCTAATTACCACATAATTTCTTTTGATAATTTATACCATTAGATTATGAATAAATTAAGGAAAATTGATATTGTTATTTTAATATTTTTTCATGAAAATATAATCTGTCTTTCCATTACTTTAAGACTTCTTGTGGGATCCTAATTAGCCATTTTCTTTCCTTTTATTCCTCTGTTCACAGCAAGATGGATTCTGGATATACTCTGAATATTGTAACAACCACTTGGATGCCTGCATGGAGCTCTCCAAGCTGATGAAAGACAGCCGCTACCAGCACTTTTTTGAGGCCTGTCGCCTCTTACAGCAGATGATTGACATTGCTATCGATGGTTTCCTTTTGACTCCAGTGCAGAAGATCTGCAAGTACCCCTTACAGTTGGCTGAGCTCCTCAAGTATACTGCCCAAGACCACAGGTAAGAGATTGAGGTAGTGAGGGAGAGAACTTCCTCTACATGTTGGTCCTTATTGAGGATGTAAGTCCTTTTGCCTTTTGTGGGCTTCTGTTAGGCTTATCTGCAAAATAGAATGATACATTCTTACTTAACTCATAAGGCTATTGTATGTATAAAGTGAGGGAGTGCTTTTGTGAGTTGCTTGTAAAGTTATACTCAGTATACACACAAAATCAGTATGCATCATCATTATCGTACCATTAGGCCTTACTTTCAGGGATCGTTTAGCCTGGTACTTAGTCCTGAGTTCAGCCAAATGTATCATCTGATGCAATCATTTTTCAACTGTATATTCCACTCTGTTTGATAGACTCAAATTTCCTGGTGACATCCTGCCCAACTTGTACTGACCCTAAATTCATTCTGTAAGGCTACATCCCTGAACTTCTTTAGCCTTTTTCACCCTTCTGTGCCCCACTCCAACTGTACTTTTCCCTTAAATCCAGAGTATGCTAGGGGAAAATAGACTTGAGACTTTCCCAGAAGGTTTTCCAAAGTTTTGAAGTATTTTTAAGAAAACCAATCCCCAAGGACCAAAAAATTTACCATTCTCTGAATGGAAATGATACTCCTCACCTTCTACCAGTAAAGTACATGCTTGGAGTAATCTCATGCAATGGAGATAGCTTACAATAGATGATCCCCACTCATTAATATGCCTTACCTCATGGCCTAGAGCCCCAAGCCTGTTTATAGTGTGATTTTAATTGATGTTAAATTCCTGTCCTTAGTCATGTTGGGCCAGCTCTCAGCTCTCTTCCTCCAATTGAGCACTCTAAGAAGAAAGAAAGCCTTTGCCCTGTTTGCTTTAGCTTTCAGCCTAATTCTTATTAGGCCTGCTTCCTATTTTCATTTGGCTTTGTTGCCTGGTTTTCTTAAGGTTGACTTCCAGACCTAGATGCATTAGGCCAAGGGTGTGGGCCATTTAGTTTTATTTATGTCAAGCATCTTGGCCAATCCCTGGGTTCATTTTGAGTGGCTATTGCTTCTTTAGAAAATCATGGGTCATCAGAGGGGTAAGATGGTGGATGAGAAAAACTGCCAGCCAGAGAGTCTCTGTGAAAAAGATAGATTTTAGAATAAAGTGGAAAAAAATAAATAAACAGGCAGACAAACATAGGTAGGATGATGTTCGGAAGGAAGCATGCCTGAAACTACAGCAGACTCCACGGGAAGAAGTTGTGAAGGAGAACTGGAAGGAGAAAGGCCCCCAAGAGGCTTGGAGACCAGTGACAAGGGTAGGTGAAATGGTTAAATTTCCTCTCCCTTGAATCTTAGACTGCTGGTGGGCTCCTGAGCAGTTGGTGAGACTTGCCAACACCAGCAAAGAGATGTCTGAGGCCAGTGAGTGGTGAGCCTCATGTGGGCAGGACACTGGTCTCCCAGCTTCTTCAGGCACTGCCTTCTGCAGACCCACATCAATTGGCAGACACCATATTGCCTCATTCTCCCTTTCTCCTTCCCTACCCGCAGCTGCCGAGAGAGACAATTTAGCCACCACCTGCAGGCATCTTCAGGGAATGGAGTCTTTTTGGGAGGCCCTAAAGCAGACTGAGGGGTAGTCAGACTGTGAGGTCCCTATCCACCATCCCTCCAAGTGCTGCTTGCCTCATGACTCCAGGAAAGGGAGGAAAATCCTGAGATGGAGAGACATTGATGCAGCGTGGGCACCCCATGGGTGACTTGAGGTTAACACTCCTCTCCCTGGCAGGGTCAGGGATTGAATTATGGGGCCCAGGGGACAGGCCTGCAGATCAGATCCCATATACCCAGGTCTACATCCCATTGCCAGGAGCACAGAAGTTATTTTGGGGAATGAGTCTACTGAGGTATGTGTGCCTTCAGGAGCAGATCAGCATGCTTCAGGCAGGGGCAACCCTCCTCCATGGCAGGGCCATGCACACAGCTCAGGCTGTGATCCTGGACAGGGAACCTCTCATCCTGCATCACAACCAGGGAAGATCTGCTGGCTTGAGGGCCTGCCTGCTGGACCCAGGAGACCCAGAAGAAATCGTGGCATAGGGGAGGGGGAAAAAGAGTACGGCCTGCTCCAGACTGCAGGTCTCAGACAGCCCCACCCCAACATGCAGACTTATTGGCTGAGTGGGGCCAATTCAGCCCCTACTTGGCAGCTTTGCCCAAAAGTAGAGAACGGATGTTGGACCCATGCTAATAGCATTTGTGGTATTTGAGGGAAAGCTCACCCAACCCAGCTCTGCCCAGCCTTACTTCCCCACCTGCCTATCTTGAAGTGGAGAATATGGGTATACCTTGATGTCCCAGAGATCAACCTATCACCTGAGGCACTAGAGTGCCTCTCCAGAGAAATAAGAGCTGGTTACAGAACCCAAAAACATCACTGCAGCTTGCCCCTCCAGCAAGTGCCACCTACTGAAAGGGAGATCAATTTAAATACCCTTTTACTGCATCTACTGACTCATCCTACAGGGTGTGGTCGAATCTCGCCCACAAACACCACTGACCGGCTCAGAGACTAAACAGGGGATGCCATTATCCAACCCAAAATCTAAGGATAAGAAGCAATGACTGATCCAGATAGGAAGGAATCAGTGAAAGAACTCTGGAAGTATGATAATCAAATGGAAAGCACATACACAAGGGGAGGGAACACAAGATCCCTAGCAATGGACGCCAACCAAATTCAGAACACTAAAATGACAGAACAAATATTTCAAACATGGAGTGTAAGAAAATTCAATGATATGCAAGAGAAAACGGATAACCAATGCAAAAATACCATACACAAAAAATTCCAGGACATGGAAGAAAAATTCACTAAAGAAATTAAAATATTAAAGAAAAATCAAACTGAACTACTGGAAATGAAGAATTTATTCAAGGAATTACAAAACACAGTGGAAAGCATGAAGAACAGGGTAGATCAAACAGAAGAAGGAATCTCAGGGATTTAAGATAACACCTTTCAATTAAATAAGTCAGTTTCAGAGGGAGTGCAAACAAATAAGAAAAAAGAGCAAAGCCTACAAGAAATGTTGGATTCTGTGAAGAGGCCTAACGTTAGAATCATAGGCATTGCTGAGGGTGAAGAACAAAATACACAAGCTCTTTTAGTATAAAATAGAGTAAAATTTCGCAGGCCTTGTAAAAATCTAGATATCCAGGTACAAGAAGCTAAAAGGCCTCCTGGGAGATTCATTATGTGTGTGTGTATGTATATATATAAATATATATACACACAAACATACACAAGGCAAGAATCTGCTATCTTCAGGAAGCACATGTAACCCACAAGGATACATTCAGACTCAAAGTGAAGGGACAGAAAACAATATTTCAAGCAAATGGAACCCAAAAGAGAGCTGGCATGGCATTTCTTATTTTAGATAAATTAGTCTTCAAATCAACAAAAGCAATGAAAAATAAAGATGGTCACTATATAATGGTGAAGGGTACAATTCAAAAAGAAGACATAACAATTATAAATATGTATGCATCTAACTCAGGTGGACCGAGATTCATAAACTAAATCCTACTTGATCTAAACAAAATGATAAACAACAGCACCTAATAGTTGGAGACTTCAATACCCCTCTGACAAAACAGGACAGACCCTCCAAATAGAAAATAAACAAAGAAAGAATGAGAATATAGAACATTCTACCCCATAACCAGTGAATATACGTTTTTCTGATTAGCTCATGGGACAGATCTAAGATTGACCATTTTAAAGGCCACAAAGCATGTCTCAATAAATTTTAAGAAATAGAAATCATGCCATGCATCTTCTCAGACCACAGTGGAATAGAATTAGAAATAAACTTCCACAGAAACTCTCATGTCAACTCAAAGCCATGGAAACTATACAACCTCTGCTGTATGATTATTTCATTAAGGAGGGAATCAAGATGGATTCAAAAGAGTCTTTGAAATAAATGATAAAGGAAACACAGCTATTAAAATCTGTGGGAGACAGCTAAAGCAATCCTGAGAGGAAAATTTATTTCCATGAATGCCTATTTCTAAAAGACAGATAACAAATAAACAATCTAATGAATCATCTCAAATAATCTGAAAACCATCAGGAAAACAACCCCAAACCTTGGTGAAGAATAGAAATACCAAAAATCAGAGCATGACTAAAAGGAATTGATAACAAAAATATATACAGAAGTTTACTAATACAAAAAGTTGGTTCTTTGGAAAAATAAAATAGACACACCTCTTGCTGGATTGATGTGAAGCAGAAAAAAAAACCTAATAAGCTCCATCAGGAATGGAAAAGGAAAAATTACAGCTGATGCCTCAGAAACACAAAATATCATCTCTGAATATTATCAAAACCTCTATACCCATAAACTTGAAAATATGGAAGAAATGGACAAATTTTTAGAAAACACAGCCTCCCTAGACTTAATCAGGAATAAACAGAATTCATGATCAGACCAATATCAAGTACCAAAATTGAAGTAGCAATAAAAAATACTTCTTAAAAAAAATCCAGGACCAGATGGGTTCACACACAAATTTGACCACACCTACAAGGAAGAACTGGTGCGTATGCTGCAGAAATTATTCCACAACATCAAGAAGGATGGAATACTTCCCAACACATTTTATGAAGCGAGCATAACTCAGATACCAAAACCAGGAAAGGATGCAACAAAAAAAGAAACTATAGAACAATATGCCTTATGAACATAGATGCAAAAATTTTAAACAAAATCCTAGCCAATCGGATCCAGATGCTTGTCAAGGAAAAGTGGGCTTCATCCCAGGGATGCAGGGATGGTTCAACATATGCAAATCTATAAATGTAATTTACCATATAAACAGAAGCAAAAACAAAGACCATATGATCCTCTCAATAGATGCAGAAAAAACCTTTGACAAAATTCAGCACCTTTTTATGATGAGAACACTCAACAAAATAGGCATAGATGGGGCTTACCTAAAAATGATACAAGCCATACACGACAAAC